CTACGTATCGACCCGTACCAGAATCACAGTCACACCCAATCTCGTCGTCAACGGGGAGCTTGGGCAGCGAGAACTACAGCCGATTTTCGGCCTCGACATCCAACGTCGACAACCTCATCAGCCGCGAAGACATCCACTGCCGTCTGATGAGTCGGTACAAGGACGCCCCGTTGAGCTGGTACTTGCTCACTTTTGTCTCCATGACAGCCATTGGCATGTTTATTGTCGAATTGTAGGTGCCCCGTCCAAATCTCCCAGGCACACGCAACCAAAAAAATAAAAAACCACGTTGTTTCTAACCATAGCAGCTACCCCGTCCATCTTCCCTGGTACGGCCTTCTACTGTCCCTCGCCATCGGCGCCATATTCTTCATCCCCAACGGCATCATCATGGCCGTCACCAACCAACACAGCAGCATCTACCTCATCTGCCAACTCATCTGCGGCGTCGTGTTCCCTGGCCGCCCCATTGCAAACATGGTCTTTGTCACCTACGGCTATATTTCCTCCGCGCAGGGCATCAAGTTTGCGTCCGACCTCAAGCTCGGGCACTACATGAAAATCCCGCCCCGACTCATGTTCCTCGTCCAAGTCGTCGCCACCCTCGTCTCGTCCGTCACGCAAATCGGCGTGTTGAACTGGATGTTCGCCAACGTCAAGGGCATCTGCACCGCCGACGCCCTCAACGGCTTCACATGCCCCATTGCGCGCGTCCACTTCAACGGCTCTATCCTCTGGGGCGTCGTCGGACCAGGCGAGTTCTTCGGCCCCGGAGCCACCTACCGCGCCCTGGTCTGGTGTTTCCCGCTCGGCGCCCTCCTCCCCATCCCGCTGTGGCTGTACGCGCGCAACAAGCGCGGCAGCATCATCCGCAAGGTCAACCTGCCCGTCATTTTCGGCGCAATGTCGTGGATCCCCCCCGCTACGGGCCTCAACTTCTCCGTCTGGGCCGTCGTCTGCTACGTCTTCAACTACCTGATCAAACGGCGAGCAAACGCCTGGTGGGGCAAGTACACCATGACCCTCAGCGCCGCTCTCGACTCGGGTCTGGCCTTTGGCATTGTCGTCGTCTTCTTCGGCTTCTTGTACCCCGGGTGGATGAAGGACTTCAAGTGGTGGGGTACAGAAGTGTACAAGCAAGGCTGCGATTGGCAAGCGTGTAGCTATAGAACGGTTCCGGAGGGCGAGACTTTTGGTCCAGATGCGTGGTGATGATGTCCCGTCACCTGGCATTGACTCACGATTTCACTAACCATGTGTGTATATATGCATATATATCGTTTTTTTGGGATGGCATTTTGGCAGGGAAAAAGAAAAAGGCCAACTTGGATGGGAGGCAAATCTACTCAACGATATATACCCGTTTTTGCAGCACTTTTTTGTCTTTTTTATCAGATATAGAATATGACGTACCAAACTAGCATTTGAATTTTTAGACCTTCTAGGGATGCACAGCTCTTCTTCATGACTAACTTCTCGTGTCTTTACAGTAGATTACTATACAGTGCACTGGCTAAAGCCTGAACCAAGCTGCCAACTCTGTACCCAATGCTCTCCTCGCCGTAAAACTCCTAGTGTACCTGGTCCTTTATTGTCCATTTTCCCACTCCGGGTTCTATCAAAACAAGTTAGCTAAACCGAACCCAAGGTTTGAATATTGAAATGGCATCACCTTACCTTTTGTAGGATTACTAGGCCCTCCAGAGTACCGTTCAAGCTAATGTACTCCTCATCCTCAAGCTCCGCTCGCTCTCCATAGCCCAACAGAACAGGTGTACTCTGTGTTTGCCATCCGGTAATGGTCTTGGGACGACCGGCTTGCCCGACAACATCCACGGCTTGACCAACACGCACGTTGACTTTGAGAGGTTTAAGCTGCTCATCTAGAGTGACCAAGAACCGAGGGTGCATAGCCGTGACAAGGAAATAGAGTAGGTAGTGGGAGGTGCCCGTGATGAACTCTTTGGGGTCAATCAGGGCAATCATCGTGGCTAGCAGTCCTGCAGTAGAAACCTGCGAGAGGACCTGGCGGTCAGTGTGGAAGGGGTTGATGGATAATGTGCCCTTGCCCATGTGTAGTAAGCCCTGAGCAATTCGGACCATGAAAAGAGCATCCTGGTCGCGGTGATAGTAGCTTGCCAGTTGTCTCAGGAGTTGTGCCAACCGGGCGTTGTTTGTTCCTGCGCCAAGCATCCCCATGGCAAATATTGCATTGATGGCAACCTCTGGGTCGTTGTCGTGGCTGTATCTTGAGAGTGTATCGTAAACCTTCATTTGCGGGTTACTCGGGCTGATGAGACCCATGGCCAACGGAACAGCCTTTCGAATGTTCGCCTCGCCATAATGCATGAGGTGGCCAAACTGTCTAAGAACCATCTCCTGGCCGATATCCTCACCCATGGCCACCAATGCAATGCCGATGACGGCATATGCTTGTAGCAGCTCATCGCCTTTCTTATCATCCGACTCTTCCTTGTGCTCGTTGCAAATATGCAAAAGCTCCTGGATCTTGAGCACAGCTCCGGTGCCTGCCCACGCACAAATTTCCGCCAGAACAGCAGTTGGCTTAGCCATGGGGTGCTCCACCGCCTTCAGAGTCTCCAAAATCACGTCAACCTCTTCCTGTCGGCCGAAGAATAGCAATCCCAAGCCAAGTGCCAAGAAGCGAGTCCACTTATCTGTCAACTGGTTCTTTCGTTCGTCATCCATTAACGTTGTAACAATAGTTTCCGTAACATCAGGGTGGGAAGAGCCGACAAAGATCAGACCGCACGACAGAGCAGCCATGGCAGAGATTTGCATGTCTTGTGATGAATCGCTGATAATCGGTAACAGAAGCTCGAGCAAATCCTCTTTATTCGAACCAGCGTACGACAATCCCAGACCCATAATACAGGCGGTTCGGATTAAGGGGTTCGAGTGATGCAACTTCTCAGTGTCTCCAAGCAGAGCCAGCGCAGGCTCCGAGTCAAAACGAACACCTGAGTTCATGATACCAATCGCCAACATAGCTCCAGCTGAAATTTCAGTTTCAGCAGAGTATGTGTACTTGTCGATCTTGTCCAGACCATTCTCGATATCCCAAAGTAGAAGAGTACCCATAGAAGCCACGGTCGACATCATACCATCGGCCTTGGTCTTCCAAACCCAACTCTCCTTTTCACCCTCTACCAACATCATCTTGTCATTACCAAAGCCAGCATTGACAAATGCGTTAACAAACGCAGCAGCCAGGTTGTGCCTGGCAGAGTCAAGATTAGTCATACCAGCTACCCGACTGCTTTCAAGGTGGCTCTTGTAAATATCTTCAGTGGTCTTGGGATCCAAAATATTCAACTCCTTTCCAAGGGACTTGAAGTGCTCTGACAGCTTAAGATTAGAAGCGCACTCCAAGATCACTTGCTCATCATCATTGCTCTCAGGTAGGTCCAGTACGATTCTTTGTCGCGCGACCAGGAAGGCCAACTGCTTCTTCAAGGTCGGGTTCTTAGCTTTATCGAAATCGGCCTTGATAAGCTCAACATCATGCAGTCGAATAGCAAGAACAATAGCCTGGGTGAACTGCTTGTACTCCATATAGATGTTGTGGGCAGTTCGAAGGAAGGTCTCATTGTCCGGATAAGTGAGTAGATTCACCATGCTAACCATGTACAAGCAGACTCTGGCATAGGTGTTCTCATCGACGAATTTCGGTATCTGCTCAATGATTTCAAGTTCACTCATAAGATCGACAGCATCCGCCTCGGCATTGCTCTTGATGAAAAGCGGGACCAGTATGAGAGCAAGGTCGATCAGGTCCGAGGTAGACTCATCAGCGGTGATTCGTTTTCCATAGACCTCGCCGATCTCCAAAGCTAAATGTCGCACATATTCATGCCCCCAAGAGCTAATATCAGATGTCGGAGCCAGAAGACGATATTTGAGAGTGTCTTGCTTGTCCTCGTCGGAGAAGGTCATACCAATGACAGATAAAACATCAGCCAGCGATGTCTTGTTCTCGCCAGCAGGCCATTCCTCGTACAATTTGGTAAGAGTTTCATAGTGTGGTCGTAAAAATTTGAGAGGCTTCGGTACTGCTGTCATTGATGATGTTGAGGTTTTTATCGAAGTCTTCATCGCCTCTAATGCTGTTTTGTAGAGCTCCGTGTTCGATTCCTTGATTCGAGACAGGTCAGCAAACGCCGACAAAGTAAGCACAATTGCTTCCTAGCTTCAGGCAACCTACCGTCAATCGCTCTACTATCATGTCAAGCTCGCTTTTGAGTTGTTGATCCTCCTCACTAAGCTCCTCCTCGACGGCTGTACCTAAATCAGCATCTTGTGGTTTGTCAGCGCTCTAACCAGCACTTACCATCCTTCTTGTCATCTTCCTTCTTGCCGTTCAAAATAGGCTTCTCATCCTTGGACTCGTCCACGGCCTTTCCCTTGCCCTTGTCTGCCGCCTTGGGCGCATCGGTGTCTTGAGCCATGTTGACGTCGATGTGGTGAGCGCCCTGTGCGAAGCTCCTACGAGGGGAGGTAGAAGGTACGAAGAAGGCGTAATGTCGGCTACGGGTGAATTGAGGTGCCTGGGGTATCAACACGCGGTGCGGTTCGAAATTTGCAAAGACCGCAAGCCTGCGTTAGTAGTGGTGGAAAGTGATGGACTCGTGTGGCAATGAAAGCTCCAACGGCGGATGTCCTACAGTAGCTCCGGTTACGTGAGGCGCTGTCGCCTGGTGCTCGCGAGTGCCCAGCCTTGCAATTCAATCACGTGTTGTGGCACCCCTGGAACCGGAACGGTTAATCCGCAGATAAGGCACAGGTGGCGTCGGGCGCTATCGATTAGACCTTATCGGCGAAATTTCTCAGTCACCCCACCAAAAACGATTGTCACCACAGCGCAAGCGCTTGTGTGTGCTGTGAGAGGCCCCACGCCAAGGGACATTTATTCTCTTACTGCTCTTCATCTTACTGCGTTGTACAATATCCCAAAAGTTGGTCCTGTATCAACCGCCACGATGAAGCTAGACACTAGGGCTATGAGGCATTTGGCCTCGGAAGACTGGAGAGTTCTTACTGCCGTAAGTACAACATGAGAACCTTTGTGTCCCCTTGGTACTAAATTGAGCACAGGTTGAAATGGGCAGCAAAAATCACGAAGTTGTGCCCACTCCATTGATAGAAAAGATTGCCCGCTTGCGAGGTGGAGCTAGCGGTGTACGCAGGAGTATATCGGCACTCGCCAAAGTTGGCCTTATCGCCAGAGTCAAGGAAGCCAAATACGACGGCTACCGGTTAACCTACGGGGGTCTCGATTATCTCGCTCTGCACACCCACGCCAGCCGCAAAGATCTTTATAGTGTCGGAAACAGGATCGGCGTTGGAAAAGAGAGTGATATCATGGTTGTTGCGGACCAGACGGGCACACAGCGTGTTTTGAAAATCCATCGATTGGGAAGAATATCCTTCCGAACCGTAAAATCCAACCGCGATTATCTAAAGAATCGGGCTTCAGGCTCATGGATGTATCTTTCAAGACTAGCAGCCATGAAAGAATATGCCTTCATGAAAGCTTTACATGAAGAAGGGTTTCCTGTTCCAGTTCCGCTGGCACAGTCTCGACATACAATTGTCATGACACTGGTGGACGCTTTCCCACTGCGACAAATTTCCGATGTTCCGGACCCTGCATCTCTTTACGCGGACTTGATCGCTCTGATTCTTCGCTTTGCCAATCATGGGTTGATCCACGGGGATTTCAACGAGTTCAACATCTTAATAAAGGAGGAGAAGACTGTGTCGGAAAGCGGCGAGGAATCTTTGAAGCTTGAGCCGGTTGTCATTGACTTCCCTCAGATGGTGTCTACGGAGCACCAGAACGCTGAAATGTACTTCGACAGAGATGTTGAATGTATCAAAAGATTCTTCTCAAGAAGATTCCACTTTACCAGCACAACTCCGGGGCCCTTCTTCAAAGACTCGAAGAAGAAACTAGCCAAAGGTGGTTTTACAAGACTGGATGCAACTGTAGAGGCGTCTGGCTTCACAAAGAAAATGTTGAAGGATCTTGAAACTGCAATTAAAGATCAGGTCACGAAGAGGGGAGAGGATGGAGTTTCAGAGGAGTTTGACGACGACGACGACGACGATGATGAAGTTGGATCTGAGGACGACGATGACAAAAGTGGAGATGACGAGAAAGACGACGGTGGCATTTTGGGTCCGCATAGTCATGAGAGAACGCTGAGTACTGGCGCCAAAGTCGATGACGAATGGTCTGCTGCTGACGCCCAACCTCTACTTAATGAGGATCTGTCGAAGTTGACAGTATAGTACCATACGATACCCGAAAGAGAATAAAACGAATTGGACATCTGTCAAAGCCTGATAGAAGTGGTTTCATACCTGTGATACATTATTATTCATCAATTTCGCCCATTCGGCGTTGATACTCTGCTACAGGCCCCAATTTTCTCTAAGAATCTAAAGTACAGTCTGATCAAAATGCGTCCTCAATGCACTCCTTGGTGACAGAGAGGCTTGAGACTATAAGATGCTCATTCACAGAATATGTCTGCTTACAACTCAACTGGCAAATTCGTAAAAGAATGTAACAAAAAAGTGACAAGCCAGAAAATGTAGCCACATGTCTGGACATGAAACAAACTGCGAACAAGCAACAAAAGAGACAACAAAAAAGCTAAAATCGACCAAAAAAACATTAATCACTAATTTCATCCCGTCGAGCACCCTTGGTAGATGGCGACTTGTTCTCGTTAGTGCCACCGGCGACGGTGGATGAGTCGGCGTGAATCGTTACACCTTCATCACTGTCCGACATGGTAGCGGCAGCAGCCACATCCGTAATCGTGTTCGGAGCTATCCTGGTTTCAAGGTTAGAATTTAGCAAGGGTTCCACGCGAAAGAGCATACTCGGATAGTCCGCGTCGGGTCCCCGAGTGTCTCATCACATTTCCCTCTTCATTTGATGAAGCAGAAAGCCCACTGTTATCATGTCAGTCAGGCCATGGCAGTCAGAAAAAGGGGTCTTTTCACCTTCGCGAAACAGGCAATGTTCTGCGCCATTGAGATTGTTGGTTGTACAGTGTAGGGCTCATTCCCACAAGAGGAGTGCCATAAGCCCCGATATTATACTCGTTTGTCCGGAATTGGCGGCGCTCGGCAGTGACTCGCTTCAATTCCTTTTGAGCTGGAGTGTCTGCATATCGAATATTCATGAGGAGACCCTCCTCCCCAATTCCAACCCCATTGTATTTCTTGATAATCTCGTCGCAAATTTCACGGCTCTCGAATCTATTAACTCAGTTAGATATTAACTATCCCTTCCGTAGGAATTATATGTTCATACCGGGCAAAGCCAACACCACGGCTATTTCCCATGCTGTCCCGAAGAATCTTGCTCGAGAGGATGGTGGTTCCGAGGAAGATGGTTCCAAGTTCCTTTGCCAATGTCAATTACTATCCAATACTTGGGGTTAAATGGGTTAACTCACCACTTCAGTCAGCGTCTTCGGAAGGTTGGAAATGTACAGATTGGTAGAGCCTTCGTCGCCTTCTGCCTTAAGGCGAGAGTTGAAGGATTCCTAGGGTACATGTCAGATACGTCGTAAAGTAAACAGACGATCCCTCTACATACCCGGGCAAAGCCAACTTCGTAACCAAGTCGGTGGAATCCACGAATGCACATTTCGGAGTCCTGAGAATCAAAGAACTTTGCAAAGCCAAATCTGTCGCATGTCAGTTCCCGCATCAGGTAACGATGACCTTCCATTACTTACCCCTTGCATGCCCCTGTTCCAGTATCAATAATTGCTTTGGATGTTTCGACCGGTCCGAAACGAGAGGCAAATTTGTAAAGTAGTTCATCGTCCGTAGTAGGATGTAGTCCGCGAATGTATACATTGCGATTGCCCGGGATACGATTTTCAAGGCTCTGTTCAAGGCTCTTCATCTGGCTGGGAGGTGTAAAAACTGCAGGGACAGCTCGGGGAATAGCAGGTTCCTGTTGAAGATATTCATCGACAGTCCGGTCCGATACTACAGCAATAGCGGGTTTGGTTGGGTCGGCATGAAGGGCCGGGAGGCCAATTTGCTGGGGGGAAGGAGTCGTATAAGCGGATCGGTCAAGGCTGGCAACTCGTGGGCCGTCATCACGCTGCGAAACTGTGCCATAAAAAGGAGTAGCTGGGGTAGACTCGGTCGTGGAATATGATCCGCGACGATTCTCAAGGCCAGGCACATCTGAATGTCCGCGTTCCACACGAGGCTGGGCAATATGAGCTCGTCCAGGAGTGAAAGGGACGAAGGGCATCTGAACGCCAACATAAGGAGACCCATATCCAGGGATACCCAGGTTCTGATATGGATTTTCGGTGTGGTGATGGTTCATGCCAATTTGGTGAGCGGACATGTGAGCCAGAACAAATGGGGTATCAGTTCCAACCATGTATGGTGGTGGGTTATGTCCCATCGGCATTGGAGCAGAGCTGCTAGGCATACTCATACCTCCCAGGGAGAGTCCGGCAAATTGGTTAAGCATTGCGTTTGGATCAGCAGCTGAGTGTGCAGGACCATGGCTGTGGACATTACGCCCTGTAGGATTGGGGAGATAAGGCCCGCCAACACTGTTTCCGGCGTCCATATTCGAGTCGGCGAGGGCTGATTTTTCGATAAAACGTGAGGCTGGAGAAGTGGAATGAAATTAGCGTACAAAGAATTCCAAGGTAGAGAATGGCACGATGAACAGCAGATGCTGAGTTGGGCAACTCCCCAATCAAAATGATGCTGGTTCCCTCTTCAGGGGATCGATTTCGATTATAAAGGGAATACAATAAAAGGTAGACCGAGAAACCATTCATATCAACAAAGGGGTTTCATGGTCTTCAAAGCCAGAGAAAGGAGGCTCACTTACTCTCAAAGCAAGAGATCAGCTTCGATTGATGGCTGGAAATGCGAACGATCCGAGAGTCAAACGGAAGATCTGTTGCAGAGTCATCAGCAAGTGTACTCCAATATTCCGTCACTGTTCTTTTCTTTTGCCGTCTCGTGTGTGGAATGATCGCCTCGCGTGACTGGTGGTGATTGTTGACCAAGGCAGAAAACAAGCAGCACAAGCACCAAATGCCACGGTTATGACAAAGTCACGAGGAGCATTACCCCAAACACAAAGGCGAGGCCGGCGGGAGTTGGAAGTGATTTCTGATATTAGTGAACAGACTCACATCTTCTTTTTATCTTTTCGGTTGCGTGATGACACAAAGCTGGTGAGAGGCTACCAAAGGCAAATGTTGCTACCAAGACTGGGAAATGAAGCAAGAGAGTAAGTAAGATAGAACAAGCTATCGAGCAAAATGGGCGCACCGAATGATATCGACTTGCCGTTGAAGGGACTTGGAAAATCTGGGTTGGAAACGGTGTTGATGCTGTGAAGAGAAGAAAAAGGAAAAAAAAAGAGCAGAGAAGCAGAATATGGAACAGGGACAAGACGAAGTTGCAAAAGGCACCAGATGACGAAATGGCAGGGAAGAAGGGACAAGCCAGGAGCCAGTTGACGCCGGAAGCGAGAGATTAGAAGCGAGAGGCGAATGCACGGCGGCACTACTTACCTAAAAATGCATATAATCTGCTGGCGAGGTAATTGCGATGGTTGTTGTAGGAGATGGAGGAAGGAGTCAAAAGGAAGGAAAGGATGTCTGGTCGGTTAAACTCGACTCGAAGAAGGCAAGCTAGAAGATACCAGATGCAAGCAAGAGGGTAGTGACGATTCCTGGTCTGCTCGTCCCGATAGCCACGATTTCCAGAGAAGGAATTGTAATGGTGCGAGTCGAGATGAGAAGGACTGAACCCCGAGCGTGATCAGGAGTGCCCGAGGGGAAAAGAGGCTGTTGACGGGGAAAAGTCTTCAACTGTTATTAACCGGACAAGTCCTGCCAGTTGCCCAATATCAGCTGCCGCCTGAAATGAGGGGCCCGATCTATTCTTTTAAGTTCCCTGTATCTTTTTAGACAGGTGCCAGCCAGCCCGGGAAGTGGCACTGAGGGTATTCACAGCTGGCAAGGCAACAAGACGAGGAGGTGAGCAAACACGAAGCCTTCACCGCACGATTGATGAAGCGACGCTTTGAGTTGTCTGCCGAGGCCCAAGGTGTTGTTTTTATTAAGACCGATGGATGGATTTTGCGGTGACTTTCTACCCTTTTACATGTTAACAAGTTCAAGTCATCGGGGTTTGATGCCGGCTTGTCTCGTCATACCTTGGTATTCGCCCCAGCACAGCCAGCACAGCAGCATACATACAATTACAACCGTTGTTTCTCCTTCTGAGCGTCAAAGCGTACAGGTGGAATGTATATCAGCGGAATGATGGATTGCACATGAAGCAGACGACACAGACGGACAGTAAGAATACTGAGCAAAAAGACGCAACGCGGACGGGGAGAGAGTGTCGATGACTTGGACGGGAAACATCTTCTCCAACTACCTTAAATTGTCCCTGCTAGCGGCACAGCAAGGGCAATTTTTCAGATCAGAGCGGTCCAAACAAAATGGCAAGACTCTGTGTTGACTGAAGTTGCTAAGAAGCAACCATCCATCCCAGTCTATCCACCGCCATCCACCCTGCCAAGTACGGAGGAAAGCGTTGCTTTTTCTCTCCCATCTCAGACACCACCAACCTTTGAAAGTCTGATTCACCTGTCCATGACTGTTTTAGGCCTTCTCCCTCCCCCAGCTCGAGACTTCTGTGAGCCATTCGTGCAGCAAGTGGCGGGCCAATGAGACGTCTTGAAGCCACGCATCAATCGTGCAAGCTCTTTCAGCCTGGTCGGGATGGCGCAACTGCAAAGCTCGAAACCACCCAAAATTTCGCCATCTGGTGTTATTCTCTACCCTGATCGGCGTCGTCGAGGGAGACTCTGCAGTCCACTCCCTGGACTGGGACCCTCCAGTCCGCCTCAAGGAGCAAGGCGGAAGCCTCGACAGGTCACAGACCCCATCCTTAGTCTCAACGCTTCAGAGTCGCGTTGCTTACCTGAGAAACGACCGTGGGACTTGACCCTCGCAAAGAAAAAAAATCCAAAAAAAAAAAAAAAAAAATCGCGTTTCTGCTACTACTCCGTACACTCATGTTAATTATGGCTTGCTTTTCCTTCTCATTAGAGTCTGCCTCTTCTGAGCTGCGTACGCAACATACGGCGCCGGGCCCGGGATTAGGATTATGACGAGGCTTATAAGACATTTTGCCGCCGAATCGTACCGCTCGTACGCTTCGTGTTGGCCAAAGTCCAGTTTGATGGTTTCATGGACGCGCCGCCATGTCTCCCTTTGCGTTGGCACACAAGTAACCGGGTAGTTGGGTCCAATTCCCTGGGAGCCATGGCCTCAAGAGTCACGACAGACGATCAGCGGCCTGCCTCAAAGGCGTCTCTTGCCACCATTTTGCATAGCTCCATCCAACCGAAGGGGTTCGTCAATCTGGAGTAGCGAACAGGGTTTTGGTCAAATGCAAGGGAGAGAAGTCGAGAGGGCAGAGCAATTGTGGACTAGGTGTCGCAAAAGAAACAAGCCCGTCAAGTTTGAGCGGTGACGAGTGGTAAGAGACAAGACGCCACGGCTGCGTTAAATTGGAACATCCTAGCCCTTGTCCCGACAGCCAACGGTCTGGTGTGCTATTTTGGATGTCCTCTCACCTCAGTCTCTGGATTTGGGGGAGAGGGAAAACAAGCCTCTTCCCCCGCTGTCAGCGAGCAAATCCTATCTAAAACTCGTGGTACGGAGTAGGTGTCGAGCTGCAGTCTGCAAGTGGGCAGCAGGCGCTGGGAGGGAGGCTGAGGGTGTCCGGTTCGGATCTGGTTGCTTTTTTTCGCTTGTATTGGGGAACACCAAGGGCAACTTCGTTTTTTACCCCATAAAAAATGGTTATGCGCCATGCCGCCATTTGTATTACCTACCGGACCTGTGTTGCCTCTTGGGTACGGAGTAGTCGATGCACTGCGACTGCAAAAAGCAAAAGTGTCATGGGCCTATTGAAAGCCCGCGTTACACGACACCGGCGCGCGAGGGCCCGAATTAGCTGGCTATGCATGTGGTTTATGGTTCGCTGAATCGGCATTATCGAGATGATTGATATCCCTGTTCATGTTTGCATATTCATCACGTTTCCGTTTCTACAAAGTACATACAAATGCACCTGGGCACCCATCATGTCTTTGCCGAGAATGGGGTCTACGTATTGGGCATTACGGGACCTTGGTTCCTTCCGATCATACTGGTTGTCTGCGATAGAACTCTCATCATTCATCGCCTTGATATCGAGGCCGACTGACATCTCAACCTCAACATGCAGCAATTTTGATTCGATTTGCATTTGTGCGTCTCATGCCATGCAACTACGAGATAACGTACCCAGGATGGACTGGTGTAGATGTAAAGCTCTGTTTATTTTGCCCGCCTGCCTTTCATTGCCATTTCCCCATACAAAAAGGCTCTCCTCGTCCATCAACAACACACAACCACACGCTCTTGACATTGCCAAGCAAGAACCCTTGTAGCTTGCGTGCGGAAATAGTGGAAAACTTGAATAGACAAGACCCCTGTGCCAGTCTCATCCGATTCAAACCAGCGCCTCTTCCGAAATGGCGCACTTTCCACCCATGATCCCAGAGCAAAACCTTGGGACCGAACGTATATGCATGTTCTCACGTCACTACAGCTCAGACAAAAATCGCAGAACCCGTGCAGATGTTGAAAATGCTTCGAACAACAGGGTTCTTGCTCCTGCACAGAGGAGGCCGGACTCTTTTCTTTTTGCATATATTTCCGGTTTACGTACCGAGCACTGCAACGGCCGTTGAACCACGACCGTTGTTGTTCCACTGCAACCAATGGGCGTGGCAAGCAAGAAAGAAAGAAAAAACACCACGGATCGAAGTTTTTTCCTTAGGGACCGGAGGAGGAAAAACCAGCATTGGGATGAGCGTTGCGTTCTCTTTCGTTCGTAATCATTAACCTATGCCATGTACATGTCTCCAACATACGCCCAACATGTCCCGTGGACCAAATGAGAAATGACCCGCGTGAATGAGACCAAAAACAAATCCAAAAAAGAAAAGGGAAAATTCTATTGGAGAACACGGATACTATACTAATGTCGTGCAAGATCAACGCCGCCATGCATACATCATTAGGTCGACCGTCTTGAACGGCAATGAACCTGTATTCTAAACTGCATAACTCCCATTTTATATTCTCGTCTCTTAGTCTAGGACCAGACATCCTCCTGTAATCCATATATCAGCATTGGTCCTTTGAAATAATATATGGAAAATGGGGACAGTGACAAGGACAACATACCTGGTATTGATTTGCTGCTCTCATGTTCTTGACAATCTCCTCGCCTTTGGTTTCCGACACGCCACGTGACTCGGCAATGATTTGGGCCAAAACAGTATTCACTTCACGAGCCATGTGCGCGGCATCACCGCAGACATAAAAGTAAGCCTTTTGTGAGAGGAGCTCGCCGATTTCCTTGGATCGCTCCTTCAGACGGTGTTGGACGTAGACCTTCTTGGAGGATTCTCGTGAGAAAGCGGTAACGATTTCTAGGCTGTCTCCGAGAGCCTTCTTATATTCCTATAACAATTGTGAGTTACCCTTTTTGTTTGAAGAGGAGGTGTTGCATGGATTGTTGTTTCGGGTGAACATACCTCCCATTCAGACTCGTACAAGAAATCCTCGGATCGCTTTCGGCATCCGAAGAATAGAATCGTACGTCCGACAGTGGCTCCGTTCTGAGCTTGCTTGGCACGTTCCTGGATGAAACCACGGAAAGGAGCGACGCCAGTGCCGGGGCCGACCATGATGACAGGCTTGGCGGGGTCCGAAGGTAGTTTGAAGTTGGAGTGGCGAACATGTACGGGCACATGAATTCCGTCAAAGTTGTTGCGGGGACCGTTGAGGGCATAGGTTTTCCCGAAGGGAGATGGGTTGGGGTCGCCATTCTGCTTTTGCTTCAGGGCAAACAGGTAGTTTGTAGCCACACCACGGAATGGATCTTTTCTTCCAGGGATCGCCTGAGACTCGATGATGGCAGTGATGGAAATCTTCTTTGGCTGAACAAGGGAGGACGACGAGATGGAGTAGTATCTAGGCTGCAGCTTGTTCAGGCCTTCAATAAAGGCGGAGAATGGGATTTTGGTCCACTTCTCGCCCTTGCCTACTGTGTCCAGGAGTCGAGCAATGTTGTAGAAATGCGGTCCGGTCTTGCTGTGGAAGTATTCCTTGTCACTTCCGAGTCTGGCCATTTCAGCCTTGACTTCGTCATTGGGAGCAAATGCAGCCAGGGTCGCGACAAACTGTCGCGAAACAGGCGCGCAGATTTCCAAGTGGTATCGGACAATAGCATCGTAGGTGGTCGGGGTTGGGAAAGGAACCTTGGCGGTGGGCTCCAATGCTTTGATGCTGATGACGTTGTTTCTCTTCTCTTTCAAGCCAATAATGTCGAGGAATCGGTCAACCTCATCGCCAGAGTTAGTGGGCCAAATGGCAATGTGGTCACCAGTCTGGTAGGAGAGGTTAGAGCCATTAATATCAACATCCATATGAATGCAGTTTCGGTCCTTGGCGGAGAACAGCTCCCGGGATTCGGCAATTGGTGCAATATACGGGTTGTGGGAGTTAAAGGGGCCCTTGGCAGTACCCTCAAGATGCATCTTATTCGGTTCGCCGAGATATACTTCAGGGGATTCAACGGTTAGGTTCTCACGATCAACAATGCCAAAGGTAGGTTCATAGACAGCCTCGCGCTCCTCGAGGCCCATCTTTTCCGCGAGAGCAGCCCACATGGGATCTTTCCAGGCCAAGAAGTCTTCTTCCATGGTGCCAGCGCCATCGTCGCCCTCGCCGGCTTCGCCGATGCGGCTGGCGCCGAGCTTCTGGAGGGCCTTGTCGACATTGCGAACCATGGAATTATAATGCTCGTAGGTGTTGTTGCCCAGACCAAAAGCGACGTAATTGAGGTTCTGCAGCGCAGGGTCACTACCCTCAGAGAAGCTAACGTCGTCACCAGTGATGAACTCGTAGAACTCGACGGCGTTGTCGGTGGGCTCCCCCTCGCCATAGGTGGCCAGGATGAACATGGCGACCTTGTCGCTAGGCATGGCATCGAGGTTATCGAAATCGTACTCTTCCAAATCAGCTACCATGGTCTCCAGGCCAAAGCGACTTTTGCCCTCCTTGGCGAGACGGGAGGCGTAGTCTTCGGCGGTTCCAGTCTGAGATCCGTAGAAAATGACACAGTTCTTGCCAGTCTCGTCCATCTTCTCGAGAATGTTGCGGGAGCGCCCGGCCTTTGCGCCATTGGCATTGGCAAAAGCATTCGCATAAGGGTCCTTGGTAACGCCCCAAAGAGTGCCCTTTGTGAAGTAGGCAATGGTTCCCAGGAGGATGACGCCGAGGACGACGATGTCGAGAGTGTCGAATTCAGCCATGGTGAGCAAACTAGACGATGCCAGAAGATAGGGATGGATTGAACAATCACACAGCTGGCCGCTGCCACTTGCCAGACGAAAGCCTTCTCGACCGAAGCGACAGACGAGAGGGTTAAGAGACGTAAAAGGCAATGGGAAATGGCAATGTAAAAGAGGCTCGCAGCTTGAGACACATGTGCAAAAGACTAGCGAACGGTTGCCGGCGGGTTTTGGTGAAATTCGGAGGGGTCTGGTCTGATTCAGTGGGTTAGATTCTAGAAGTAGCCGTGGCAGCCGTCTGGTCTGGTCAAGTGGCACGGAGTAAAGCACCAGGAGCAGGAACTTTGAAGCGTCAAGTGGCCGGACGTGGAGCCAACAGGCAACAAGGCCCCCAGGCCCGGCTGAGCCCTGAGCCACTTTCTTCGACCAGAACTTAGACACGCAGAGTTATTCCGAAAAAAATGGAACCTGACCCTGCCAGATCGACCGCTTTGCTCCAATACCGACCAACGAAGCCGACTGTTTGACTGATTGTTTCCCGTTCCCGACGGCGTTGCGAACGGCACATGACTACGTTGAGAATGTAGGCGGCCATGGCCAAGCAGTATAAACCAAAACAGCCCTTCGCAATTCAGAGTATTGTGCTTGCCGCATTGTTCAGACATGCCACTCCACAAGACACTGGTGATGATCAGATGCTAAGCGGATACATCACAGACAGTCCGTCCTCCGTGCCTAATGCCTACTGCTGCTTGTTCCTCCATGCCCTCGCCGACCTCGCCCAACCCGCTGGGACCCATGGCGCATCAGACGCGTATTAAAATCTGGCCACATCATCCACTTCTTAGGTGCCGGTCAGCTTGGCTCAAAAGCCATAAGATCAGCGCTTACTACTACACGCTTCTAGCTTCTTACGGAGTTTGGAGTAGTCCCGCTCTTTTGACCTGGAACCTGCGGGGGCGCCTTTCTCGCCTCGTCTGCAACTCTGGGCTCATCTGACCAGGAGGGAGATAGTTCCCGTGCTCCGTATTCGGGTTCTTCCATCCCTTTGAGCGCCCGAAGGTGCCGCTTTGGTACCGAACAAGGATATTAACTAATTAAAAGTCACAAAACACAAGATATATTAATATATACTAAGATATTATAAAAGTATTAATACTACTAGTTTTTAAGTATACTAAAAGATATATTACTTTTATAGGTGTCTTAACGCATTTTAAAGGTACCAGCTAAGTACTAGCCTGGTATCTGAGACAATGTGGGCCCGGTACCTAATTGGCACCTTCGGGCGCTCAAAGGGATACAAACAGCGCAAAGACCAGCAACCTTGTAGCCTCTGTGGCTGGGCTGACACTACGAGCACAGATACAACACTCGATGATGGCTCAGTACCTCGTGGCTAAGCGACCCTTTGCTTCGGACGCAGTAGAGCAAGAAGTAACTCGGTAGTGCTCTGTCGCAGGAAGACAGTAGTACTAATCGTAAACTGTGGCAAACATCCGACTCGATGGCATTGGCACCGTGTGTCCCTGACGTTGCCATCAAACAACGCGATGCATGTATCCTAGCAATTGGACGCTGTGTCTTCCGCATCACTGAACCGCCTTACTATTGTCCCGACGATTCCGATTGCTAACGCCGAGTGCTCATCCACTTTGTGGCGCACCCAAGGCCTTGCTCGAATGTTTCCTTTCACGCCGTCCCCGAACTTCGAATTGTGCTTGAGCCCGGAACCCGTTTCGGCCTCTCCTCATCACGGCCTCCGGCGGTATGGAGTCCATGGAGAGATTGAGCGCATGTGACTGCGAGGCGGCAACTCCCCCTCCTTTCCTAGGTCGTGTGCATCGCTCAACTTTTTTTGCCTCAAAGCGCTGGCCCTCCATCCAAACGCTTACACAGTATCAAGCAAAGGTGGAAGCTAGAGTGCCTGAGCCACGGCTAACTCCACCTCCACACGGAGATTCGCTCCTCTTGTGGGAGCATGAAGTTGCGTCTGGCGGAATTGGGGTTCTGGTTCCGAAAGCCGCGGAGCGTGGGACCACGGTAAAGATTTCCGGCAATTATGTCATTGAGTTTTATCGCAACACGGAAAGTTTCTCTTGATCCTGAGTGTTTACAGTTGTATATCTTGTGTATCCTTCAACTTTGCCGTGTCCCATCATGGCTGTCCATCGGGATGACAGCTCTCCGCATGACACAACACCAGACACTTCACAAATCCTCCTGCGCCCCCCAAAGTCTATGCAAGCGGGCTGTCGCGTGGCCCCCAGCCCTGAACCCCCAGTGCAGATCCGAGACCTTCAACGCCATTGCCCAAGCGTCAAAGGCTAGAATTCAAAGTCCTGACGTAGTACATGGATGGAGTATTCTTCCGTGGGTATGGGGAGTAAAGTCTTCACGTGTCTTACCGCATCCTGTAAGTGACGGTGGGAGTTGATATGCAGGTAGCAGGCACGGATACTCAAGTATGGCAATGGCATCAAGCTTTCACATCCACATATGTCCTCTAACGGTAAAGGACAGGGGAGTAAATCCTAGTATTGTCAAGGGCGTAGCTAAGTTGGCGGATGCTGCAGGCATTCTTCTCTGTTTACGGGGAGGCTGTACACGGAGTTTCGTACAAGCTCCGAACGTGTTTGTTTCTTTCTTTCTCTGTTTCTTCATCTCCCTCTTTTTTGCTTCGAATTCGTAAGCCACAGCCTGCCGTTCTCGAAACATTTACATCAGCTACAAGACCTAGGTATTGGTCAGCGCTAAAATCTGTCCAAAGTCAAAGCCATCGAGTGCCATTCACACATCAGTTACCTTGCTTTCATATAAGCTCAGCATAGTCCAAGAAAGGCGGAGATACCTGCAAGCCACCGATGCAAGCCCATCCTAAGCATGTACCAGCTACACACTCTGATTGATGCTTGAGGGTATTCGGCCTACCGGACAAGTGCTGGGTGATGGACAAGTACCTGGCCCCCAGCATTCGTCGCAACACTACCTAGGTACCTACCTACCTAGGTAGATATTTAACGTAGGTACATGTATTTTTACAAGAGATCTAGATGGTGGTCCTGTCCGAGGCCATAATCTGCGTCCCTCGGAGTAACCACGGAGAACACTTGGCGACCTGGCCCATCAAGGCCAGCTGCTGGTAGAATGACTAAGCGTAGCCCCCTACCGTCGGTCACTGACATCGGGCTTGTTGGCGGGCAATATCAGCACCAAGCACCAGACCACATGCAGCCAACAATTGACCGTTGAAGGGAGAAAGAGGGGGGCCTGAGAGTTCTCTGATATTGACTCCATCCTCTACTATGGAGTCAACATTATCTAGAACGGGTATCGAGCCAACTTTGGAGGGAGCATCTGGACCAGCACAATTTTGATGTTTAGAAGCATTGACACTTTAGAACTCCTCAAGCTGACGCAACATCCGACCTAAGCAACCTCAGCACCGCACACCCACGGGCAACTGTGCGTAACGTGCAGCTCGACTGGAGCTTGTCCCATCTTCGTACGTGGACCGTGTCGTACAGCATATGTGCACACCCGCAGCCACCGGCATCTTTTTTTGGCCGTCAATGCGCGAGTTGCGCTCAACCACGTTTACGGACACAATTGGGCTGGTGTAGCCTGGTTTCCTCGCACGAACTCTTCCTTGTTGGACACCGAATGTCCTCTTGACTGCCATGCCCTTTTAGCCACGCATGCCCAGCGCTAGACCATTGGGAATTGGGCCGTGGTCCGATTCGAGATGGGTGAGTCGTCCATCATCGTCGTTTCGGGGCCTTCTCCATCATTCATCACTCATCATCCTGCAATACGAGGCTATCGCGGAATTCAAGGCCTGCTGCCGTGTGCCGCTGTGATCCAACATGGAACAAATGCATTCGTCGTCATGGTGTTCGTCGATTAGCTGCTACACTTTCGCCGTGTCGTCCCGTTGTCTCACGAGTGCAAGAGACAAGGGTTACACGCTAACATGAATTGCTCTCTAGCCCCGTCGCAAGCTCTCCCCGACAATCCACAGGACCAGTTGAAACAATCAGCACGCCCTGGCGCGAGATTCGACGACGAAACCGATCATGGTCCAGTTTGGGACCAGACGATACGACCAACCACCTTCACAACCCCATCGCGACACCAACCCCACTCCCGCGAGTCCTCTGGTGATAAGACGATACACTCGCCATCTGCTGTGGCTTCCCCTCGAGGACATACCCAGCGACAAGGCCTTGGCGTAGCTATTGAACGGACCATAGATCATAGCAAGACCGCCGTCTACGGACACCATCGACAGACCTCTATCGTCCATGGCTTTCAACACTCGAGAAATGGGAGTCACTCAAGCATGTCTACCAGCCCGTTGAGTCCCCAAATGATAGCCGCTGCTGGAGTGGCACTGGATAGATTGGACATGCAGTCAGTCACTACGCGGCTCGAGGCCAACATGCTGCCCCCCCGGCCAGGAACTTCTCTCGCCGGTCCAACCCTCAGCCCCATTGGAGGCATTCCAATGGAAAGATCTGCCTCGGCTGCCGATATATCTCCCCCTGCATCAGCTCAAAGGAAACCAGAGCGAATGCAGAGCAAGTCGAGGCGCGACCACCCGGCACACCAATCCCACTCTCGAACACACAGGGACGACCAGAAGGCTGTGGGAGATTACGCACTGCATGTTCTATTTACATCAGTAAGCGCTAGCTTCTGCTATGTTCTTGGTCATTGTGAAAGTGTTAACATCAATATAGTTTATTACACAAGCAGAAGAGAAGCTTACGGAATGCATCACGGTCCCCTTTGATCCCGAACCGAACATCGACCGTATCTGCGGGCCTGGTGTCGACCCTGCCTTTGATCAGTTGATTGTGGCTTTGGGGCACATTGCCAGTCCAAAACCCAAAGCCCTGATTGACTTGATGATGCTCTGGAGGAAGAGCAAAAGTGATGCCGCAAACGAGGCTCGAATTCAGCTCCAGCAACTGCGTGGCAGCCAACCCGGAGGTCTGCTGCTTCGCAGGAACACAGAG